TTCACATGAATTTTCGCTGCTTTGCATTGGATGTTAACCTTTTGTTTGAGGTTAATTTGCATCTAGTGGTATCTGTTTGTTTGAGGTTGTGCTCGGGGGCTCGGTTGAATGTTCTCCTGTGGCGTATAGTGCTCGTATAGTTGTTTGAAGAGCTAATTGTCATATTTGCACATATGATGTGTAAGCCCTTGACGGACGTGTGTGTGTGTTTGTGTTTATATGTAGGGTTTTAGGGTTTCGGGTTTATACACACATATATATATATGTGTGTGTGTGTATATATCCACATGTCCTGTAATGGCTGGTCTTGCAGATTGCACTGCATGCTATGCCTTGTAGTATACGGAGAGGGATAAGTCTCATATCGTTTGCGTTTTCGATTGTCGTGCACCCTCTCTTGGTTGCTTCCTTGGTCTTTACATGTTGTTCATTGCGTTATGTTGCACAGGTGGCTCCCCGCGTGGGCGTGTATGATATGCTGATGGTGGCCATGTGCTACGACCGATGGGGACAGTACGAACACGACAACGACGGGTGCAGCAGCGGAGGAGACAGCTGAGTGCCTGTGGGTGATTACTAGTCACCTGAGATTGAGGGTGCGTACGTGAACAGTACTAAAAGGCTGAGACTGAGACTGTGTCTGAGTGTGATAGGTGAACAGTGCTAACCATCTGAGCTGACATCTGCGGGAGGGATGGCTGAAAGTTGGTGGGGGGAACAGTACTTTGTGTGTGAACCGAAGAACCACACCAATCATCTGAAATGGTGGACTGTGTTGATCAATTGGATTGGTAGTTAGTGCCCTGACATCGTCTAGGCAACGTTCACGACCCGTTGACGTATCGCAATTAGAAGAAGAGGTGCTACGCTTGTTGCATTGGATCTGAGTGTCGCATCACAGGGAAGTAGTACATAAGCTCATACAGAGAAGTAGGACATGAGCTCATTCTATGTAATGTGTTGCGAAACAGATGCATTCACTGTAGCAGTGATTGATCGAATCATTTAGAGTGGTTCGAGTAAGATATCGTAGTAGGGTTTTAGAATTTAGGGATTCTAATTGTCCGTCTAGCGCATAGTATGATTATGAAAGCCCTAAACCTTAAAAGTCTGACAACTTCAAGACATAAATATTTCGCGACTGTTTCAATTGAAAAGGTGTGACGTTTTTATTAATAAAAAAATCTAAATATCAAACGGTTCTGCTCTCAGTCACTCAGGCCACAATACAGTGAGACGTTGTTACCACTCCATCAACACACCTCAACTGCAGAAAGAAGAAAGTGCGCGGCTGTGCCCCGTTATTCGCTTATTTGCTAATGGCAACAAACCAGGGGGTTGTTTGGGGTTTGGAGTTTTAGGGTTTTCGGGTTTTAATAGTTTGTATGATTCTACGCAGAGATAGCAGAGATTATTCGCTCTGTCGTTAGTCATGCCCCAGTTGAATGATAGTAACTAAAGCCACAGTGGCACTGAAATCCTCTTTTCCTTCTTCAGTACAATCCCTCGCAAAAAAATAAGGTTTTAGGGGTTTAGGGGTTTAGGGGTTTAGGGGCTAGGTATTAAAATAAGTGTTACAGAATGTGTACATAAATGCACAGTAGATAGCTTTATTTCCATCTGCATACGCCTTGTGATCCCTTGCCTTGCTGCATATCATCTGTCCAGGTTCCAGAGCATCTCATGCATTTCCAGAGAAAACATGGGTGATCCCAACTGCAACATGGGCATCGTAGTTGGCCATTGTCTTAAGTGACACAATGCAAATTAACGTTCTTGGTAGGGCTTCCACTGTCACGAATGTATCATATCAACAACAATCCCAAGTGTAAGAGAAGGATATATTTTAGACGACATTTTGAGAAGAATATGATTTGTTTGGGCAATATACGAAATCGGATTAGTGCTGAGCGTGAGAAATGATTTAAGATGAGAATGAGAAGTAGAAACTTAGTATGCTGAAGATACCGAACAGCCAAGGAGCTCCACGGGTTTCAACCGTATGAGTACATGAAAGTACTTCCCATTTGAGTTGAACTTTAGCTCCTACACGTGTCAACTGTGTGATAAGCTCCTAAATACATTTCTCATTTGCTGGCGCCAATTGAACACCACATTCTCCATGGGCGTCTGCGAAAGAGTCAGTGTTTAGGGCGGGTGTGACAACATCAACTTGTACCGTTCAATTGCTGTACCCAAATTGGCTCAGCAGTGCGTGTTTATTTGTCTTATTTACATATGCTATCTCAGAGGTTGTATGCATACCATACCACCCTCCAACTATATTTGGCAAGTCATTGCATACGTACGACTAATCCCCGGGGGTTTAAGGGTTTAGGGTTTTAGGGTTGTTTACACCGTGGTCGCCCCTGTGGCTCGTTGCTCCTCCAGTAGTTGCAGAATGCTGTCAATCTTCACGTCTTGTTTGGCCATCTTCTCCATCGCTAAATCATATTTAGCCATTTTATTTTTCAGATTTCGCGTGAGTTTGGCTTGTGACGCACTGTAGGAGAGATAAAAAAAATCGCGTTTGAACACCACAGAGTGATATTGGCATCTGTCATTTGGAATTAAAACCACAATCTGATTGGTCAACTGAATGAGTCACGGTAGCTCAGGTCGTACAGTAAGCAGCAGCGACACACGCGCAATAAAACAATCAGCAGCATATCCGCATGCGCGATAGATACAACGCAACGTTTTGCAACGTCGTACACCCGCCGAGGGAGAAATACCACTAAGATTTATAAACGTATACAGTGCAGTTGGTGGAGCGAACACTTGAGTGTGTTGTTACTAACGTATATAGTGCAATTGATGTGACACATACTTGACTTCTTTGAGTGTGTTGTTATTACAATTGCTGTGACGCATACTTGACTTACTTGAGTGTGTTGTTATTACAATTGATGTGACATACTTGATTTCCTTGAGTGTGTTGTTATTAACGTATATAGTGCAATTGATGTGACACATACTTGACTTCCTTGAGTGTCTTGGATAGCCTCACATCCATATCAGCGGTCCTATTGAGTACATCAGCCACCCCAACTTCCCTGAGAAATGCAAAGCGCAAGCAGTGGGTGAGATGTGTAGCAATCGGTCACATTGCTGTGCATATGAAGTCACACTCATCTGAGCAAATGCAACAAGAAAGCGAACAAGAAAACGGACGAATATACTTGCATCTGTGAATCTGAAAGAACTTTTGGGGTTGATAGCATATTCGAATATTGGGGTAGAAATATCACAACTGCTATTTGTCCAACAATGGGTTGACAAGGAAATAGTAAAATGGACTAATCGTGCGTAGATAATCGAATAAAAATATGTGTGCTTGATAAACAAACGTCAGAAACGAATGTACAAATGAGTGAATTCAATAGCACTTTTGGTGTCTGTACCATGTACGCTTGCAATATCCCATCCGTGCATGTGCACATAGACCTTCGGTGTATGTGCCCATTGACCTTAAAAATGTGGGCAGTAAAGGGCCTTTGGGCTATAGACATTCACGGAACACACACCTCTCGGAAATCGCATCGTCCAAGATTACCATCACCGACCTCAGACTCAGCTTACACCCTAACATGTACAAAAATATGAAGCATCTCCTTATCTGGTCATCTGGGCCTGGTTCTAACGGAACTCCATTGAGATCCCTCGGCTGAAACGGTTCGCCATTCTCATCGCTGTAGTACGGATTAGCCATCAACTGCCGATGGTATGTAGAGGCATTGATAAGTTAAAACGATGCAAGCCAATAGAGGTAAGGATATCAAAGATAGAATCAATAGTTAAGACACCACTTAACCACCGATATATATATACATATATATATATATATATATA